TTATGTAAGCCACTTTGAGTTTGTTGTAAGGAATAAGTAAATAAATACCATGTGCAAGGTTGGGCATCATCAGCCATTGGAGATACTTGTATAATGAATTTTCAACAGTTGATGAATATTTGAAAATAAATTTTAATGTTTCCATCTGCTGCCTTGGCATTGTGGGTGATATTTTTCTATGGCAGGCTATTCTTTATGACTAATTTCACAACTAAGGAGTCTGATCATTGTTTAAATTCTGTGCAAATGTTGCATAGCAATTAATAAGGTAACATCAAAGAACTTTGATTTAATAGGAACCTGAGATAACATTTTCCATAATATGCAGTTGGTGAAGGAATATTTTTAATTTCACTGTTAGAGTGAAAGACTGCAACTTGAACACAGAAAAAAGCTAATAAATCCATACAATTATATTATGTAAATAAGATCTTATCATTAATACACTGGAGAACTTATGAAGAATGGCTAACCCATATTCCAAAATTAACTTATCCTAGCTGAAGTTATTAGCAATATGGTTTAATATATATTTGACAATATATGAGACTGAGTGAATAATAAATTTGTGAGCTTTATTTGGATTTGTAGAATTGGTATACAAATTTTGACCTATGTCACCTTCAGGTAATAAAAAGAGTGGACTTGCTCTAGTCAAACAGTGTTCTTTACATTCATTCTTTGAAAACTTCGTTATACTTGATCTATAGTTCGTATTTGGTTGGGGTCTGAGGAACTTCTGCAGGATCCATCCATAATATCCTGAGCTCACACTGCTTAGTTGTGAGTAAGAAAGTGTGAAATAACATCACTTTCTGTCTGCAGTGTTCAATTCCACATTTTTCTTTTGCTTGGAATATTTGAGCATTATAACTGCAGTTCCTTTGGGCCACATTGCAGTGAGCTACACTGGGAAGGAGCCATCGTCGGCTAGTCGTTCACTCGCCAGTGCACACTCTTCCTGGCAGAAGCTCAAGCGCTCCTCAGCTTGCGGTGGCTTGTTGCTCCCACCCTCCTAGCACATTTCCCAGGGGTCCTTACAGCACAACCCCTCACATGCCATATCCCTGTGAAGAGAAACTTTTCCAGCTTTCTGGCCCATTCTGATCACAGCCCCTTTTCAGTGCAGTTTCTTTTAGCATCTTTTCCCACACCCTCAGAAATGTTTGAGGACAGAAAAATAAAATATTAACAATATTTATAGCATTTTTACAGTAAATACAGATACTCTTGCAGTAATTACACTCACTTGGCTTATAATTTCATCCTGTTCAGTCACTGATTGTGGTCTTTGGTATCAAAGGGAATGCTGAAGTGTGTGTGTTTGTGTGTGTTGAGCTGATCCTGACAGATGTCAGTTCAGGGCATAGTGGGATGCAACTGAAAAGGAGGAGTTTATTGGCCTTTCCACTCACTATTTTCAGGCATATTTATTTGTTTAGCACCTTTGCTGTTTCAGAAGTGGACAAATACGATAGTATTTTATTTACCTTCATTTTTCTCAAGCGTGCAGATTCACCTGTCCATGAATGTACAATTTACAGTCATAAATTCACCTCGTGAATTGTCAATTGTAAATTCACCTTGTAAATTTCCTTGTAAATTACATACTCTTATTTCAGCATTTCCATTGACAGCACTTGGAAGTAATTTACAAGGCAAATTTACTACTGCAGACTATACTTTGTAGACAGGTGAATATGAGCACATGTGAAGAGAAACAGTGCTGGTGGAGAATTCAGCACATTTGTGTACACTTGTAGCAGCAAAAAGTATTTATCATGGTACCATGGCTTATCATGATGTGTGGACCTGGACTCTGTTTTTCCCTGTTGTGTGTTGCAAAGTAAAGGAGAAATCAGTTACATAGTGACCCAGTTCATACGAACACTGCAGCCCATCAAGGGATATGTGAATTGCAACACATGCCAGGCAACTTCCAGATATTCCGTTCATGATTCAACTTGTCACGTCATGCAGACATGATGCAGATGGATGGGTGGTATGGTTAACAAACTACCCACAACCCTAAAGCAGACCATGGGTTCTGAGTGGTTTGTTAACCATGCAAACGGTCCAGCCTTGCTGGTTTGCATTATACAGCTAGCCATAATGACCCATCATGGCTTAAATAATGCAGCTGGCCCATAATGCTTGTACAACACAACTTTTTTTTACAGTATTCTGGTGATATTTGCTAATATATATATATGGACAGTCACACCACCTCCATTCCAGTTCTTACATCTGCATTTAAGAACTGGAATTATTTTCAGATCACCAGTCAATGTATACTTAATGTATATTGGGATGGGACCTGAGTCACACATTCTGTCTCTTTGACAAAACGGTGTGCATTCAGTTGCAGATTGTATCAGAAGCGGAGTACATGAATTTGTAGCCGTGTAAGCATTGACTTGATTGAGAGTAAGATCCCTGCTTTTTCCAGGTGGCTGATCAAATGAGGCGAGAAACATACACATGTGCCACTGTCCCCCTATCTCAGTGTTCCAACTTCAGGTGGCTGTGTGCAGGATGTTATTTAGAGTAGGTGAACAGCTCATTTGTAAATACATAGGTCAGCAACCATGTAATCACCTGAGCACCACAGTGTAAGGGACCAAGAACCAAGGCTAAAATTTAAAATCCAGTGAGGCAGTAAATGTCTAGAAGGAAAAAAGTGTATATAATCATCTGGCTACAAATTGAAATTCTCTGTTCTGTCCAGAGAGTTCTAACAGGTAAGCAAGGGGAAATTCTTAAACCACACTTGTTTATTTATCAAATGTTTTGATTGTCTTTTTCAAAGCTGATGAAAAGCCAGCAGCCTATGTTCCAGTTAATGCCAATTTAACAACAAATGTTTCTTGGGCAGCATGGTTACCACTTTTGCAAAAGCAGCGGATGTCTGCTCAAATCAGCATCAATATTTATTTATTCTTACCTGTCTTTAGAAATCATTACATGATAAACCCATTTTGATTAAAAGTTGCAAAGATAGATTTACCAGATGTTCAAATCCTCATAAGAAGATGTGGCCCACAGACTTTTATGATCAGAAAAAAAACCTGAATAATACAAATCTCTAGGAAATTCGTCTTGGGAAAAGATGTTTCCCAGTTCTACCCAGTATCTTAATGTCTGCAGAAGCTGGGGCTTCTTAATCTCAGTTTGTTGTGCTAAAGAAAAAGGTGATTGGATTAAGACTTGCAGAAAAGTACCTTTGGCTACAATGTCCTGAGACTGCCTTTGACTACAGCTGAACTTTGATGTATTCAATTTATGTTAATGTACAATGACCCAAATATACAGAATAATTTGTATGAAGTTTTGTTGTTGGAATGTTTTGCTGCATATTACAGAGCTTTAGGAAATATTCACAAGATGAAATTCAAATTCAATTTTCAGGCTGTCTGTGAAAGCAAAGCTTTTTTTGTCTTTTCACGTAGAAACTCATGCATAATACCTTGCAACAGCAGCAAAAACATTGCAAGAAACATTGCTTTCCCAAAATGTGAATCAAATGCTTCCTAAACTAAATTGCTTAAGCAAACTAAACTCCTTTTTACGTAGAAAAATACAGGAAATTTGTGAAGCACCACTGCTATCACAAATAAACTGGCATGCAGTGGTGTAGTAAATCCTACCAATGGACAATTTAGCGATGAGACCCAGGATTCTCTCCCAGGCCAGAAGAAAGTCTTTTCCAGTCTTGCACACTAAGAGGATCTGGGGAGAAGGAACCTACCAAGCAACCAAGCAACAGCAACCAAATAGCCAATTTCTTTAGCAGCAGGAAGCAATCCAGGAGCCAGATCTAGGGCTCATGAGCACACACAGTTTGTATGGATGGTGAACTAAAAATAACTGGAGATAGACCAGTATATGCAAGTGAGAACTTCCCTGTCATATCTGGCACTTATGTCTTAATACAGCCTACATGGAGAGGGATGGGGGAGAAATTCATTGGGTTCACAAATATGTGGGGAAAGACCCTGATGCTGGGGCCGATTGAAGGCAAAAGGAGAAGGGGATAGCAGAGGTTGAGGTGACTGGATGGGGTCACTGGAGAGAGGTGTGTGGGGTTGGGTGTACTTTGGAGGATGGTGGAGGACAGAAGAACTTGGAGGAATGTTGTACGTGTGGTCATGAGGAGTTGGGCATGACTTTGCAACTGAATGACAACAACAACCCAATTTTCACCTCATGAGATGGAATGCAGAATGAAATGCATCTCAAGGAAGGAAACAAGCAAGCATCAAATCCCTAAAGCTTCCAATAAATTTTTGGGAGAGAAGGAAATGAACCCCAATATTTTGTGCATTTGAAGCACACACAAAACTGAAGTCAATGGGCAGAGTGGGGATTATAGCTTTAAAAATAAGTCCATTTAGAAAAATGTGAATGGAGATACATACATCTTTCCCTGTGGGAGAAAGAAAAGCTCACAAGCCAGTGCAGAACTTAGAACAAGCTTGGCTGGGAAAATGATAACCTTGATCAAATCCTGCTATCCTTCTAGATTTGCCTAATATTGATAATCTGTCTTTAGGTGTTGAAAGTAATTGGAGCTTCTGCTAATCATCCCTTCCACCGTACACCCTTGCGTGTTGTGTGTTAGGTGCTATAAATAGTGTTTGACTGCAAGGCCAATTGAACGGTTTTAGAGATTGCTGGAGGACCTGTGTGCTGATGCCATGAAAAAGCAGCCCATTGCTTCAGTGCCTGAAGTGTAAGGTAGTAGTCATAAAGATTTCTATTTCAGGTCAGCTACTTTCTTTTCTCATGAGATAGGGAAAGCTACTTTGCTTGAAACACCCAACACATGAAAAGAGACTGCAAATTTGGTAAGATCAATCCAAAATAGTCTTGAAAACTAGGCACTGAAAGTGACACCATTGCTATTCTGGTTTGCCTTCACAGAAGTAGATCAGTGGCTCAGTCCAAATTTGAGCTTCAACTAAATCTGCCCTGTTTCCTATGCTTTTGTTTATGAACAGCTACTCCAGCACCATCATGCAGTTCATGAAATTTCATACATCGCAAAGGATATCACGGACCATCGGGCCTTTGGATATGTGTGTGGAAAGGAAGGGAATCATAGATTTGTGGCAATAAAAACATCCCAGGCAGTAAGTATCAAGATTATTGTCATTTCCTGTAGTTTAACTCAATGTGATAGCTCTGTCTAGAACACCGCTGTTTTGAAAGGGCAGCCTGCAAGCATTGTTTATGCAGCACATAATGCTGTCAGAAGTGCCTGCATAAATGTTCTGAGATGGCAGTTTAGCAATACCAGTCTTGGGAAGAAAGGAATACAATTCACCCTTCTCAATTTTTTTCTTGATGTATTCCTCCTAATTAGTAATTATTTTCCTTTCTAATTAAACTGGATACACTGGCTGAATACAAATAAGTTTACTCAGGCTCCTAGACTCATTTAGAAAGAAAATGATGGAAAACAAATAGCTACTTTGCATAGTCTACTCTCATTTAAAAACCACTAATAAATATAAGCAATGCCTTTTATGCTCATAATTATAATTACCATTAATCTGCAAATATAATTAGCTTATATAGAAATGAACCTTCACCTAGTTAAAAATTTCAACAAGACCCATATAAATAATGTACAGAGTAATTCAGTAGGAGAGGCTGGTTCCCCACTCCGCTTTTCAAGATGCCTAGGGCTTCTGTCCTCAGAACTTGATTTACAAAGCCAACTTAAGCTGGAGCACTTTAATTGATGTGGATTCATTGACACCGATTTCAGTCTCAAGGAATATGTAGCCATGAAAGATGCCAGTGCAGCTGATGCAGATCAGTTGAGATCTGATATTGCACTCAGCATTTGTAGATGCTCAGCATTTAGTAAGACAAAAACTCTGGAGTATGAAGCTGGTTGTTCTCGTCACTTCTGCAGAGAGGTCAGTGGTGCTGCTGACATGAGGACCGTCAGCATTAGGACTGAGATGACCGACTTAAATGCGAGCATTCCAGCTTCATTACTGGACTTGGTTCAGTATTTGCAGGTTTTCTTTGCAAGTGTTTGGGTGGTTGGGGAGGGGATCTGAGAGTTCTTTCCTGCCCATAATGGTGATGCATCTATCCTCACAGTGCAGCTTGAATGTATTGCCAGCTGGTAACTGCAGTTTGATTTTAACTTAACCAGCACTGATTTGACAGCAACAGCCATGAGGGCCACCTAGAATGTCTCCCTGTGTATAATTAAACAGAAAAAAAAAAGGCTGGCTGCAGTATGCCGGAAGCTTTGGGACTTGCATAGAATTGCATCCTTAGAAATTCAGCCCTTCTGCCCAAAGAAATATACCTAAAACAAATTGAAGGTTTTAAATCAGAATGGTGAACAGCAACCTCATTAAAAATGCAAGAAGCATCCATGAAACTGACCAAAATAAAGAAAGTATTCATTGGAGAAAAAGCTGTTTAGATGGACTGACTTGTCATAGTTCCCAGAATCAATGACATTTTCATTAACAGAAAGGTTTTAATTATTAAAACATTTCTTTCAATGCAGGAACAAATACGCTGGTTCATAGTTCAAACAATTTCATGGTGATTAATGAGTTTATTGATGATAAGGGGTTAATATTAAAGTACTCATGCATATGTGCTTGGAAATCATCTGGTTTTGGCAATGGTATAACTGAGAACTGATGGCATATGGGCAGAATCTCATTTAACATCCTTAGCCAAAGAAGAGCATCTGTGGTGCCAGGCATCACAGAGTGGACCCATTCACTTAGAGCACAATCCTATGCAGGTTTAGACAGAAATAAGAGCTGCATGGGAATTCTGGGTCTTTTCTCTAACTTTGCATAGGATTGCACCTTTACTGAACCAGATAATTTCATACTTCAGTACCATCACTCATTCAATTGGTTTAAATGGATTACTCCCAAGTAAAACTATAATTATTCCATTTATTTTAGTGCATCTGTTATCAATTAACTTGTTTAATTATTGCTGTCTAATTTCATGTTTTAACTGGAAAGATCGTATTTTGTCAGTTACATCTTTTCTCCATATACTGTTTACTGGTTTGTTTTTCATATAGGCTGAGCCTGTAATTCTGGATTTGCGGGACCTCTTTCAACTAATTTATGAGTTGAAACAAAGGGAAGAGCTGGAGAAAAAGGCACAGAAAGATAAACAGTGTGAACAAGCAGTATATCAGGTATCTAGTTATTCTTGGTAGCAATATTTTGTGATGAAGTGGCATGGTTACTACTGAAAGCTTTTGTGTAAAGGCATTCTGGGAACAAAGTGGTTCCTACTCAAGAAATCAGGCATTGTAAATCTGTACTGTTTGTTAGTGGGTGGATTCTGTGATATGAGCATGGGGAACAATTGCCAATTTTCGTTTCTATGATCCATGCCCATGTACGAAGCTATTACTATTAGTATTGCCTTTATGAGATTGGGAAGTTATTAAAAGCAAAGTTTACTCCAGTAAGAATGCTAGTCATGTGGAATGGTTGCATTTCTAACAAAATGTTCTTTTAATATAATTTATATTCATGACTCTACACATAATATGACAGTAAAGGACTGAGTAGAAATTAACATAGTCTAATGCAAATATCTGGTCTTACCTAACATGCAATTTGCAGTTCCTCTGCTCTCTAATACATGACTATTTCTCCTGTGCATCTGCTATTCATATTCTTTCCCTTTTGTCTCTTATATTCTACTTGCTTTTGTGAAAGACAATTTTGGAAGAAGATGTAGAAGATCCTGTTTACCAGGTAATTTCTGAAGCCATATAAAATAATCTCATAAATAGCTAGTAGTGTGTTTTGGATCTTCAATAGTCCAGAACTTAAGGTACTCAGGAAGTAAGCTATGAAAATTATGAAGTATCTGCAAAATGTAGTATCACTAGTGAAGGATTCTAAAAGTAACACATTAAACATCTATTGATAACTAGTATTATTACTACTTTTTAAAAGTTTATTCATGTTTTAGATTTGCAACCCATTTTGCCCACTTAAAGAGCTGCCAGGCATAATCACATTCTATATTTCATATGAGCACCTTTCTTAACAAGTTTTTCCTTCAAAGATAAACTCACTGGCTTTCACTGATTCTCAGCTGGAGAATCGCAGCTACTCAGCAGTCTAAAATATTCTCTACTCCAACAAAAAGAGTGTGATAAAACATTCTGTTTTATCTAATATCTAAATCTGTTTTATCTAAAACATCTAATAAATTGGGCAATTATTTAAAAGCCATGAGGTGACAGATCAGGAGTGGGAGAAGGTAGATTTCCTTCTGGATCTACCTTCTGCTCACGCCTATGCTAGACTGCCCATTCTGACCCCCCCCCCCCCCCCCCCCCCCCCCTTTTCGACCCCCCCCTCCCCCCCCCCCCCCCCCCAGTATTCTGTCTCTGGAAGTGCCTCCCATGATCCCACAGGTAACACTGATCTCATTCGCTGCAGGAGCAGGTGGTCCATGAGCAGAATAGTAGACCCTCAGTTGAAGGCATGGCTGCAGTGCCACCATCACAATCATTTTACTTGTGTCACTGGGGTAAAGGAGGGTTGTCCATGCAACAGCCTGGATCCAGCAGTCATTTTATCCTTATGTCCAGTTAATTTCTGCTATTAAAAGAAGGCCCACTTTTTGTCCTGAATGAAATAAGCCAATATGGCATACAAAGCCTTGGAAGCTGCACCAAAGCGTTGCTTCTCCACCTGCCACAAGATTGTTGAGCCCAGAGTGCCTGACACTTTGAGCTGTGATAAAGCACAGGTATTGGAAAAGATGGATAATCCAAAGTGCACAGCGAGTAAACCCTATGGTCTGGTTCCTGGCTAGGTTAGTCACAGTATTAGTGATGATTAACCTAGGTCCCATTGATTTAAATGGGAAACACGTGTGAATAACTTAGACTAGATAGATCTCAAAGAGTTTACAATACCTCTTTCCAGTGAAAATATGGACAGCCTGTAAAATCTAGTTTTGCCAGTCTTTTAACTATAGTTATGACACTGGGACCAGACCACAGGCTTGCATGCTACTCTCCTTCCACTGCCCAGAATAAATTCCTCTCCCCTTTTCTTTCTAAGCTTAAGCGTGCCTTCCATTATGCATGCCCTGACACTGATGACAACTAGAACTCCTGTCAAACTCAGGAACTTAAATTAAGATTTGAAATGGGTTTGCAAACCCTGCTTGGGAAGGGGCCAAGGGTCAATTCACCAGCTATATTTTTAAAGTGTAGTTAAGGCTGATGGTTAACTTACTCTTCAGAAATCATACTAAACAGCAATTTGGTTAACCACAGCACTTCAGAAAACGGGGGCATTAAATCTTCCTATCCGTTTTTTCCTTACTTTCCCATGGCACAGATAAGGTTAAAAGAAGTAGAGAAAGCCTCCTTTGGTTGCAATGGAATTTTCTCCTTTTCTATCCCACCCCTACAGAAAGCATATCTGGGAAAAATGGGTGGGGGAAGGGTTAAACCACTGCACTTGAATCCCAGTAGGTAGCCCTGATTCAAATTGGGGCTGCCTGTACTTGACAGATCAAATAAAACTATCACGCATAGCTCCACTGTGTGCAATTAGTCAAATGCTGGATGGGTTCCAATGACATCAGAAGCCATGGCAAAATCTTACCTTTTGGTTCATACCATTGTGTCTGGTCCCAGTTCTGGTGTTCCTGTGTGGTAGGATTAGTTTTCTGAAACCACAGAGAGAATCAACAGTCTGCTCTAAAATTTCCACGCTTCACCATGGTTCCTCTAGTCCTCTGAATCTGGAATCACCATTTTACCATTGCAGATATGGAAACAATGCCCTAGCAGGCATTGTAGCTGCAGAAGTGACCACTTTTAGCCCTTGATTTGTACTGCCCCCAGCTAGCAATAGATGCATCGTTCTTCACTTTATTCCCATTGACCAAGCAGTGTGTCTGCTGTCCTGTTTACTTTTGGAAACAGGGAGACAGTGTGAAAATACACAAGGGAAAACGGGGGGATCATAGCAGAACTGTTTATTTCCACTTACTGAAAAATCTCTGTGGGGGCTGGAACAGCTGAGAAATGTAGCTTCAGACATGAAGGTACACACAGGAGGAGGAAGGGGAAATCTGCCTCAGAACCACAGCAGTCCATAGGTAAGATAAGGGAAAAGAATTTCTCTCTTGGGGACAGCCAGGAAGCCTGTTGAGCATGCAAACCCTGCTCCCCACATGCTCTGATAAATACGTTTGGGCAAAATCCATGCAGGGTTGTGATGAATCCCCCTTCTGTTCGTCAGACTTCTCATTCTCTACCCTTGCTAGAAAGTGAACTGAGCCAAGAGGAAGTCCACAAATACCCATGGGGCTCTGCTTGGACAACTGGCACCTTGTTCTGCAGCACAGAGAAAGGTCACAAGTCACATGAATGGAAGACGGATGCCACTTGTGCAGCATTTGTGTGGGGTTACTTCCTGGCACGCATCCACACAATTGCTGTGTGTTTGCACCATGTCAGACTCATGGCTGCAAGAAAGTGGGCCTGAGTCTGGGGAACTGATCCCAGGGAATCTGATGGACTAACCGCCCAAATGTATTCCTCACACATCTGTATTTACCACATTGTGTGAATACAACCATTTAGTCTGGCTCTGTGCTGTGAGTCACTTAAGGGTAGAAGGGACATTGCAGGTTTATGCCTGCCAGAAGAAGAAAGGAAACAGAGACCAAAGATTTGTGCCAGCCTATGCTCTACCTTAATTTGTTATAAGATCAGTTGCATTCCATCTGCATCAGCTGCAACCAAAGCCTCCAAGTTGCAGGTTACTATTATTCTAAACCATGTACAGTTTTATGGATGGTATTTTAAAATGTTTTGAAAATATAGTGAAAGCTTGAGAGCTAGAGAAATTTGTTGAGTTTATGTCTAAGGAAGGAATGTGCTTGAAAAGGTAATGTTGAAAAGGTAACATCAGAGATTTTTCAGAGAAGGTGCATAGTCTTTGAACCCATGTGCAGATTTTTGCCCTTCGTTGTTCCATAAAGAAATGATAAAGAACTTCCCATGTTTCTTTATGATATTTTTCCTATGTTATTTATCCAAAAACTAGCAAGGGGGAACCCCCCCTTTATAAAGTCAAAGCTGTAATTTTTACATATTTTACTTATCCATTCTTCTACATCCCTCAAGCAGATTAAAGGAACTGGAGCAGCCCAGAGACTCCTTTATGGTCTCACATAAGTCTACAGTAAAAATTCCCAGTAGCTTCTGCAGAACTGAAGTGCTCATTGTGCTTCTGTTGATAAAGCAGCAGGAAACTTGTGCAATGACAATTAGCAAAGTTCCATATCTCCTTTATTTCTCTTTCATAAAAGAAAGTTGCATTATATGCCTTTCAGCAAAAGTCAATTGTTTCTGTGCCAGCTTGTACTTTGAACCCACTTCTTTACCGCTTGTCTATGGTTATTTCTTCTGAAGTTCCAAATTGCCTTTTTCTCCTTTCTGTTTCATCTCTGACCTTTCTTCTTTGGCTGCTGATGTAATAGTACATTGTGTTTGAGGCTGGACATGAGCCAATCCGTGAGCCTGAAACAGAAGAAAACATTTATCAGGTATATAATTGCTACATCTGTGTTCTCATTGCCTCCAGCAGTCAGTCAAGCACAATCCATAGACCAAAGTTCCTTTTAAGCATTTTCATTTATTCCAAAGACATGCATACCATTCCATATTCATGTAAGTTGGAGGTATCATTCACAAAGTATCATTTCACCAATAACTTTTCTTTCTTTCAGCATTTCTGTGTTGATGTAGGTTGTCTCTTACTGTATGATTAGGAGTCCACATGTTCTGTATGGGCCTGTTAGCCAAAATTTATTTCTATTTACCAGTAAGAATATAATTACATTACTTCACATACAGAATGTCTTTCCTTTTCCACTCAGCGAGTTTCAGCGTGCTACTTCCACAAAATTGAGGAGAATTGCTGCATTTAATATAATTATTACATTTGTATACCTCTAAGAACCCAGGTTCTCCAACAACATGAATAGCATTGTTCCTTATAATCCTGAACTCCTGCATAAATAAACTTACCTAAATAAATGAACAGCAAGTACCTCTTTTAAAATTGAAGACCAAAAAGCAATAGGACACCCAGACATTCCTTTTCTTCCAAGTAAATACACTTCAGATTTATCTTCATTCACCTTTGCTTAACAAAGCAGGTCTTTTGTTGTAGTTTCTTATCTAAATCAGTATCCAAAACCCAAAACCAAGAAATTGATTTTCTTTTTTCTTTCTTGGAGTGGAAACAGAGAGTGAGACAGTTGCAAATGGTCTTGAAGAATGTAGAAAAGCTGGGGGTTTTGACATTGCTCTCTGCCTTGTCCCACCCTGTCCGCTAACTAATTTATAACCAACCCTCCTTGCTTTGAAATACCTACCCATGGGTAGAATGGAATGGAACAGGAGCTTGTTGAGTGGGAGGCATTTAGAAGGAATATATTATCAGGGTGAGAGCAGTAGACTAGTTCTGAGATCTTGGTGCTGTGTTCTAGAAAAAAATATAATGCTCTAGGATGGAAGTACAAGAGTCTATGTGGGAGAATCAGCTGTGAACATGGAACAAAGGAAAAGTAAGCTGACAGCATCAGAGAGGAATTGAAAATGGTGTGGCAAGAGTTCCACTCCCCCCTGCACAAACACATACAGACAAGCACACACAGAGCTCACGAATCAGTTACGCGGTTTTGCCAGAATGACCCTGCAAGAAACTGTTGCAGATGCTGTTCAGCAGTGGAGAATACAGACTGTCTTCCAAAAATCTCCACCAGCTTTTTCAGGAAGCTTAATGTTGCTGCCATAATGCAGCATTCCTTCCTGGACATTCTTCCTTACCAAGATCAAAAACCTTTTCACTCCTAGCTCATCAGTGTGTGGGTTTATTGAAAGCTGTGCATAACACACACACAGCATTGAACTCTTAGTTTAACTTGCTTTGAACACATTATCCATAATTATGTAGTCTGTACACTTTTCTGCTAAGCTGAATATTCTCCCCTTTGGCAAAACTGTCCATGAGATTAACCATTAGATAGGTTAAGCAGCCTATATTTAAGAAAAAGTTGTAACTCAAGATCAAGCTAATAGGACTATACATTTCAGTGTTTAACATACTTTTGACACTTAATAAATGTTCAGTAGTAGTAGCAGATGTTTGGCCAATTTAGCAATGTATCCAGAGAATAATGGCACTGGTTAAACATGCCCCAAAGCATCAGTCATTATAAGGAATGACAGTTTGCATGGCTGGTCTCAAGCTAACGGTCTTACCAAGTTTGTATTCCAAAATGAGTTCTCAGCATTGCAGCAAATTTGGCACTGGGTATAATGTCACACTAACAAAGAAGACTTAGTGTGCAAACTCACTTGGGAGTGAGGCCAACAGTAAATACAATGCAACCTTGCAAATGGGCCCACAAAAGTCACTGGCCTGCAACCATTTTAACCAGCTCACCCGTCCACATTATTTTAAATAATGTTTAGCCATGTTTGGCCTGAAAGAAAAGTGACAAAGGCCCATATGGCCTCCTGGAGATTCCTTTTACTTGGATTGGTTAATTAGGCAAAAACTGCAAGGTGACGCATATCACACCTCAGACTGTTAACTGCTGATCCCAATATTTATGTTTTTATTTAATTCCACAGGTTCCTACTAGCCAAAAGAAGGAAGGTGTTTATGATGTGCCAAAAAGTCAACCTGTAAGTGTAAGTATATATCATACATTGTGAGAGTAAAAAGTTTATGCTAATTTTCAATGCTTACAGGTTTGTCTAATGTCACCCATGGAATTACCACAGCAGATGTTTAAACATGTTCAGGTCGCTAGCTTTTTCTTTCGTATAGTAGTTTTTATTTGTGTTTAAGACACTTCTCTTCATTTTACCAAGTGTATTGCTTTCTTTATTAGATAATCCTCTAAAATGCAATTTGTGGCCAGATCACCCAGTTTCTCTCTATCTGACTTAGATACCCAAAGACCTTGCTCAAGTGAATATCTAAATGACCTTGGAGAAATGATTTAAACAGCAGAAAGGTCTTTCCTCATTCTCTTCACCTTCTGAATCCCCACATATTTTAATATTACAATTGAGCTAAAGCTGTACCTATTTTCATTTTGGGAAGGCTAGAGTCCTGTTCTCTTGCTGAATGTGGGACTCAGTGTTAAGCTGCTGGAGAGGCAGAAATTGGAGACTGAAAAGGAATCATGGACAACTGCAAATGTAGTGAAATTAATTTAGTGCCTTTGGATACTGACTTTGGATGCTCTACCACATTGTGGCTTCCCTGCTTCTTCCTGTGGTGATGATGACCAGCAATTCTTAGTATTTTAACAGCCACCCCCTGACAAAGGCTCCCAGTAAGAATTGTACTGGCATACCTGTGAGCAAAGACAAGCAAGAATGTAAAATAGTGCATATTCAGTGTCCCTTGTCTATTTCTCAAATATCACAGTTCTTTCAGCATGGGAAATTAAACCTTGCCAAAATACAAGCTTCTTAATGAGCTCTTTTTTTCCTCATACATTTTTTCAAAGCCTTCCCATTATACACACATGTCAGGTTCTGCTTGTCATAGTGTTTTTAGCAACAGGAGGCAAACCATAAATACCCTTCACTAAGCCTGTCACTCAAGTCACAATAAAACCTAATCTTCCCATCAACATGTCCAAACTATCTGTTTACAGTTTCATGAAGACTTTCAAACAACTCATCATACTGCTATATAAAGATGTATCTGTCTCCCCTTTTCTGGATTCCCCACTGTCTGCAATTGATTAGTCATGTATCCCTGGGTAGAATAGGTGTCATCTGTTTGCAAATCAGGATATTAGGACTCAATCCACACTGGTTATGATGTAAATGGTGTGGGTCTTCAGAAGGGTTTATGCCGGCTAAGCCAAGAATGCTTTAATGCATTCTTATATAGAATGCAATAGAGTTAATACAGATTTCTTGAAATATGTAAAGTACATTTGCATGGGTGGATACAGGTGTAGAAAGGCTGGATAACTGCACATCTATGTAAAGGTCTAGGGCATGGGCTGCAGGACATCAAGCAATTGCAACAGGAGTCAAGGAATTCAAGTCCAGAGTTAGCATCACAAACAATACAAGGGCAGAAGCAAAAGCAGGTCAAGAAACCAGGCAAAGCAGAATCCAATAAGTAAGAGCATCGTCACACAGGCAAAGAGTCGAGAATTGACAAGCCAAGACAACAAGGAACAGGCACCTTGGAACAAGGTGGCAAAGCAGGGTACAGAAACAGCTGGCCATGGCAGGCAAGATGGGAAGCAAAATGAGGCAATGCAGGAAACAGGCAAGACAAATATCTAGGGTAGAAGAACTGGCAACAGAAGGCTGGAAACCAGTAGCACTGAGGCAGCTTCTGGAAGAACCCTGGTTCTGCCAGTGAAGCTACGTGGACAAATACAAAACCTAGCTGATGATTTCTGAATGAGTGCTTGTTGACAAACAACTGGCTATTGGCTATTCAGGATTATTTCTCACCTCTGTGGACATACCTTTTTATTTATTATTTAAAGCTTTTATATACTGTCCCATTACTGGCGTCTTGGGATGGTATACAATTTTTTTGTAATTCAAAGGAATCATTTCATTGTTCACCTGCTGTCAATTAATAGAACTTTACTGTAACAACTTGTCTTAATTTGAACTTATTTAGGCCATACTTCAGCCAAACTCTGGCACAAGCCTTTTTGAATTGAATGGCTCAATAGGTGTGCATAGGAGAAGATTCAGCTAGATTGAAGGTGAGCAAGATATGACCTTTTGATATAGGTGTTGCTGGAAAGTGAATCCCATCACCCTTCACTATTGATTATGTTGTCTAGGGCTGATGGGGGCAGCAGTCCAGCAACATGTGGGGAGCAGGACAATGCCCAGTCCTGTTCTAGACTGCTTAAATCAAAGTATTTTAAGATGCCTTGATTCATGCAGTTCAGATTCTCATTGCAGTCCTGCAAACACAGGTCAGGATTTCTGTGTTGGCTGAATTTTCAGCTCTCAGATTTATATTTTCAACTAAAAAGTTGACTTTGCTAGAAATTAAAGGTACAAGTGGAGACAAGTATGTGCCCAGACATCCCCAGAACTGAAACTTATGTGCTAAATAGGTGTTTATTCTAAATTCCCTGGACATTTTGGAAGATTGTTGCAATTCTGAGGAAGACAAGTTTAAGAACAAAATATTTATTTTTAATCCTCCTATCAAAAGTGTTTTTCACAAATGTATTCGCAACATTTTCAGTCACAATTTCTGAAGAGATCAAATTTCTCTCACCTTTGGATGACTTTGGATTCTTTTTATAGAGGAGTCAGAAAAAACTAATTTCCTAAGCCCCATTTCATTTTGTTTTTTATATATACTGATAGCCAATGGGATTAACCATAACCCTGTGCAAGCTCAGGAGCTTTTCCTGTCTCTCTTTCTTCCCTACCGTGGCTGATTCAGAATTTAATATGGGCAGTGGGGGAAGATTATACGAGCAGATTGGTAGCTGACAAAGAATGCTGTTTAACGAACAATGGGAAGATGAATCTTAGCAAAGGCTGGCTGATTTGGGTTGCGGGGAGCTTGATTCTTCTGGGAAAGATGAGGAGGCTACTCCTTTCATCCCTGTTTTCTAGTGGATTCTGCACCCCTGCCCCTACTAGCCTTTCAGAGAAAACTTGCTAGGACCTGAGCGAGCTCTTTGGAGTCTACATAAAAGTTCACTGGCGTATGCAATAATGGTGCATGAGCTTTGAGTCCTACTGAGCAGCGAAAGAGGGAAACCAGAACCCCTTCAGTTCCCTCTAGGAGAGACAGACAGAAGTTCAACTGAGAATGAAGATCATCTCATATCTATATAGTGTTGGGGGTCTAACGGGTCTGCATAGAAGAAGGAGGGACAGATGGTTAACACCTGTCCCTCCTTCTGGTTCTACCTCCAGCCAGAGGGTTCCAGGTAGTCTTGTCAACCACCCTGCCAGGCCTGACGGTGCTGTTGCTTAATGCCACGTCGCTCCACAGTAAATCGTCCCTCATCCACTACCTGATTGTGGATGAGGGGGCCGACCTGGCTTGCATAACAGAGACGTGGGCGGGAGAAGAGGGGGATGTCGCCCTCTCACAAATGTGCCCGCCCGGGTATCTGGTTCAGCACCGTCCGGAGGGGAGGGCAGGGGGGGTTGCTTTGGTTTACCGAGCCTCCATCTCCCTCGCGGGGCTTCCAGTCCCTTCGAGGCCGGGGCTAGAGTTCCTCTACTTGGTGTTGGGCGACCGAGACAGATTGGGGATTCTGTTGGTGTACCGTGCACACTTCTGCCCAACAGTCTCCCTGCCTGAGCTGACGGAGATCATCTCGGACCTGGTGTTGAGGACCCCCAGGATGTTCGTCCTGGGGGACTTCAATCTCCATGCTGAGACTGGTCTCACCAGGGCAGCTCAGGACTTCATGGCCTCCATGACGGCCATGGGGCTGTCTCAACATGCCACAGGCCCGACCCATGAACGTGGACACACTCTGGACCTGGTTTTCTCGACAGGGCAGGAAGAGGGTGGTCTGAGGGTGAGGAATTTATGTCTGACACCCCTGTCATGGTCAGATCACTTCCTGATGAGGTTTGTGCTCGAGAGCGGCCTCTCCCTGTGTAAGGGTGCGGACCCGATTGTGCCGGATGGATCCGAACGGATTCCTGAAGGCCCTGGGGGAGTTTCCGGCTGACAAGACTGGTGCTCCTGTCGAGGCTCTGGTCAAACTATGGAATGGGGAAATGACCAGGGCTATTGACACGATCACTCCTAAACGTCCTCTGCCACCAGGCAGAGCCCACTCTTCCCCTTAGTATACACCTGAATTGCGGGCGATGAAGTGGGCTGGGAGACGTCTAGAGCGTAGATGGAGGAAATCACAGGATGAATCTGACCGAACACACTTAAGAGCCCATTATCGGGCCTATGCTGTGGCAGTGAGGGCAGCGAAAAAGAAATTCTTCTCCATTGCCTCCTCACAATGCCGTTCGGTGGAGCTGTTTCAGGTGGTACAAGGGCTGGTTCGTCCCGGCCCTAAGAAAGATCCGGTTCCACCTGGCCTCTCAGAGAGAAAATCGCTCAGATTCGTCACGAGGTGGACTCCACTAGTGATTCAGAGGCTTCTGGGGAGATACCAATGTTGCCATCTGGTCCAAAATTGATGGATGAATTTCAGTTACTGCAGCCTGATGATGTGGACAAGGTGCTTGGACGAGTACGTCCCACCACCTGCCTATTGGACCCTTGCCCATCTTGGCTAATTAACAACGCCAAGCACAGGATAGGGATCTGGATCTTGGAAGTGGTTAACGCCTCTCTGAGGGAGGGCTGGGTACCTGCCCCTTTAAAGGAGGCGGTAGTCCGACCGGTCCTGAAGAAGGCGTCACTGGATCCAGAGATGGCCACTAATTATAGACCAGTGGCCAACATTCTGGGCAAGGTTGTCCGTTTCTGGGCAAGGTGTTGGAGTGGGTGGTGCCGGGTCAACTCCAAGCACTCTTGTAGGAAACTGATTATCTGGACCCATTTCAGTCCGGCTTCAGACCTGGGTATGGTACTGAATCTGCCTTGGTCACCCTGTACGATGACCTGTGCAGGGAGAAAGACAGGGGGAGTGCGTCCCTGTTGGTTCTCCTGGACCTCTCAGTGGCTTTCGATACCACCGACCATG